GCCTCTCGGTCGCCTCGGGAACATAAGAACAGATGTTGTCGGTTTTAGCCGAGGCCGAGAATCGAACACCCGATGATGATACCGTTCTGAGGGTATCGAAAATAACCGACTAAATTTTATCTGTTTATTTTGTTTGCAGGTTCAGAAGGAATAATCGGACGAGTCGGAGAAATGGGAAGAAAAATTTGGACCTATTTTTTAGAAATTTTATATTTTTGATATTTTGTAATTTATTAATTTTTTTTTGTAATTTATTATTTACTTTTTGTAAAAAGTTAATATCTTTAATAAAAATCCCTTAATTTATTTTTCCTAAACATTATTCTATTTATGTATATATATATTTTTTTATGCAAATAACAATAAAGGTAAAACTTACCGTAACATGTTTTAGAATGAGAATAATTAAAAATGAAATTAATACTAACATGAAATTATGGAATCAAAAATGAAATTATTTAATAAGTGAAATGAGACTAAAAAATAGAAATGAAATAGAAAGGAGATTAGTTTTCCTTTAAATAATGCAATAATGAGAAGAAGAAAAATGAGATGAAATATCATCCTAAAAAGAAATAAAATCTGACTTAATTAATTAAAAATGAAAAATTACAAACTCTGAAAAGAAAATATTTTTTCCTTTTGTGGTTTAAAAATGACATGAAAAGATGACAATCACTAAAATTCCATTTTCGATCCAAATTATTCGACTAATTCCGTCTCCGATGCGAACTTCCGACTAATCCTTCCGGCAACGACCAACTTTATCAGAATAAATCCAGCCCCTCGATCAAAACGACCAGCTCAAATCTCCTGACTACGGCTCAAAATTCATAAGCCAACAAACCGTTGTGAACAAATGACCATTTTTACCCTTCATGGACTAAAAGCGCGCCACGCGATATTTCCCTGCAAAAATCAACCAACTGCATAGCCCGTTAGTGACTGGTTAAATGCAATGCAAAATGCAATGGATGCAAAATGAAACGACAAATCTTAGGGCAAGTTTTGGGGTATTACAGTAGGCATAACGCAGCGATGTCCTATCGAGTTAGTTCTTTTTCTTCACCCCCGTTTAGCAGTAGCTTTAGATAGTTTTCACCCGTAGATTAGACAACAAGCATGGATCCCATTGAGTACAACAGACGTGTGGGGTGCTCATACCTTCCCCTTGCGTAACCGACTCCCGAACCCAAGATTTGGTTGCGATGACCTTGTTTTTTTCCTTTTCGTCAGGTTTTCTTTGATCGTTTCCTTTCCCTCTCTTTGGGATAAATAACGAATGGTGGCGACTCTTCTGTCAGTCAACCGACCCTTTTCGCAGCGATGCGACACTTGTTGGGCACCTATTTAGGTTCATTTTCAACAAATATATTTATTGCGACATATTTTCAAGTTGAACTTACACGTACCATTCTGGTTGTAAAACAGACTTCTAGGAGAGGATGAAATAAACTTTGGCTTGAAATTGACTCTCTACTTGCTATACGAGCATTCAAAAGTACAAAACCATTGTCCCTCGAAGCCTCTATCCAAGTAGAAAAGCTGCCTCATACAGTTAGGTTATACCGTTTCAAGGTGTCCACATTTATCTTAAAAACAACAATTGTGTTGATCGTATAACAAATACATATTTTTACATTTAAGATGAGATTTGGTGGGATTATATTCCAAATTATGCAAATGATGAATTCCTAAGAGAGAGAGAGAGAGAGAGAGAGAGAGAGAGAGAGAGAGAGAGAGAGAGAGAGAGAGAGAGAGAGAGAGAGAGAGAGAGAGAGAGAGAGAGAGAGAGAGAGAGAGAGAGAGAGAGAGAGAGAGAGAGAGAGAGAGAGAGAGAGTTTAACTATTTTTTTTCTTTTTTGTTAATATTTTTGGGTAATGCTAACTTGTGCCCCAAGAGATAAATATAGTAAAAATTAATGGTTTTATTGGAAATTGTGTATTGAAATTTATTGGAAAAATTTAGTAAAAAATTGTAAAAACTAAATTAGCATTTACAATTGGATAAATATAGTAAAAATTTATTGGAAATTGTGTATTGAAATTAATACAAGATTATAATTAATGATTTTATTGCTTTTCTCAATTCGAATTTTCTATTTATGGATTCTTTAACTTGTGCCCTTAGGGCACAAGTTAGCATTATCCAATATTTTTTATAATTTAGATTCTTGTCCCGTCTATTTAGTTAGGTTTCAAATAAATTGAAAGGCTTAAAGAGTCTTTTCGTCCTTGTAAGTTGGTGATATTTTGATTTTGGTTCCTGAATCTTTTTTTTTCTGGACGAAGTCCCTATATGTTATTTTCTTGTTGGTGTTAGTCTCTCACGTCAAACTTTTGTTAAAAAAAGTTTAGGTGGCAAACATTGCTGACCTGGATTTATTTTTTTAATTTTTCATTCTAACATTAGTTAATTACGTGGAAATGCAACATGAGAGTTTTAAAAAAGAGGGATGAAATCCAAAACTTATTTGATTTTGCAACATCTTCTCCCTCTCTTCAATACCACTGTCTTCTTCCTCTACATATTCATCCATGGCTACTTCTTTAATTGGTAACTTTAATGTTTCAAATCCCAATTTGTGGTTGCAATATATAAATAAAAATGTTCGTCTCAAACTCCACTAAAAACCTTAAATAGAGATATTGGAAATATCAAAATTCAGGGTTAATGTCAAGTTGCAAGTTGTTCATATGTGATGATGAACTTAAACGAAACATATCAAGTGAACCCAGAAATTCAAGTGGATGCAATTGCTTAGAGGTTGTGAAGGATTTAAGTTGCATTATTAAAGACCTTAAGGCTAGGAAAAAAGAAAAGATGAAGATGAAGTTGGAAAACGAAAGGAAAAACCCAATTTGTTCAAGCTTTTGTTGATTGTATCATTGTGTTTATTTATTGCTTACCATAAATGGTGATGATTGTCATTTGAATGTGGTTGTATTTTTTTTGTTATTCGTCCCTTTGACAAACACTCTTTATGAATTTTGTCCTTGTTTCCTCTTGTAATGCTTATTTAATGAATGAACATGAGGTTTTCAATTTGTATGATTTTGGTCCTAATATGTTTGTGGTTTTTGTTTTGTTTTTCATCTCTGTTTCTTAATGAAATAAAATAAGATATGAACTTGTGGAAAAAGACATGACAAAGATAGAACAAAAATACATCAGAAAGTTAAAAAGGAATTGCTTTACTAAACCATAATGATGGTTCATGTCTCAAAAATACATAAAGCCAAAAGGAATATGAAAATTAAACTAAAATATAACAATAACAACGTCTTGTCTCCAATTTGTTCATGTCTCAAAATACATCATAATACAAATACATAAGCCAAAAATGCATAACAATCTCAAGCAACATCAAAATTAAACCATATGAAAGTTAACTAATGTCTACAAATTCAAAGGTTGTGTTGGATTACTTCCTTTTCCCTTTAGCCTTTTTCATTTAAGGAACCTTGTTTATCACTTCTCCTCAACTCCAATTTCCTTACAACTTTTGGTCTGCTTTTCTTTTTCTGCATAACATAAGCATCAAAATGCATACAAGAAACCCAATTGTTTTAATAAACTAAATTGGTTTAAGTAACTAAACTAGTTTAACATTGGTTGGAGTTGTAGATACAACTACCTTAGGAACAAGTTCAATAGTTGGAACATGTGCTGAAAAAATATAATTAGGCTGATAACCACTTATACTAGAGCCATGTACAACTTGAGCATTTGGAACAAGTGCATTTAGATCATTTAGAATAGGTGCAGTTTAGGATGTAACATCATTCACATTTGGTTGAGGTTGTGTCGCCTAAAATGATGTTGGAAGATTTGCATCAAGCATTTCAATACCAGGATCAACTTCAATTTAATATTCAAAAGGTTGTCGTTGCTCTTGGGTTGCAGCTTTAGAATCACTAAGTTGAGGTTGTTCTTGGGTTGTATTCCCAGATGCAGCTCCTGCTGCAGTTTTCTTTATTTTTCTCTACATATAAAAAATAAGATAATTAATATTACATCAATGACATTAACACTAACACAATTTTTAATGTATGGATATAATGAATACCTTTCTTTTTTGAGCTTCAGGGTCAAGCACAAAACTAGTAAAAATTCTTTCATTATGGCCATTAAAACCACATTTCGTCCAACAATAGCTTATTTTGTCTTTCGTTTGTTAGGGTCTTCATAAAGTTCCATCCTCCTTAATTTCTTTGGCCTTCCCGGTCCTCTTTTGTATGCTGGAGGTAACATATCTTTAATGTCAACCTCTGACCACATGTCTTGTCCATTAATTACATTATAATCATAGTATGTCACATAGGTTTCCTTGGAGTAATAATCATCCACAAAATCTTCAGGACATTGGTTCCTAAAACCTAATGCAAATATTGTATGTCTACATGGTATACCTACTAATTCCCAAAAATTACAAGTGCATGTTCTTTTTGAAGTGTCCACAATAAAACTATGTCTAGTATGAACATGTTCAACTTTCCATATTGTTTCACCAGACCAGTTTGAAATCCAATTACCAACATGTTCTACTTTCTTATCTAACATAAGTCTAAATCTAGGTATTATCCTAGCTTGCCACCTATCAACTCTTTCTATTAAGTTAGCATTCATATTCATGACGTAGTTTCTTATCCATACAGACATGGTTAAGATTGGTTTATCCCTGACCACTAATATTGTGTTATTAAATGCTTCATATACAATATTCATAAGTACATCATATTTGGGATAAAAAGAAAATGCATGCTTACACCATATGCTTTGACGGATATTTTAGACAACCACTCTTAAGCCTTCACATTAATCTCCTTCAATTGTTTCATCTTAGCTTCCCATGCTTGAATATATATTGCCTTTGCTGTTGCCATCATCAAATCCCAAATCTGTGAGCCTCCTCCAAACTTCTTTTTGAAATTGGTATGTAAGTGCGTAAGACATAACTTGTGCTCCACCTCTCAAACATTTCTTCAAACACATAGATTCAACCCTGCAAAGTCAGTGTCAAACAAATAAACATGTATCAGATTCAATATCATCAAATGATATACCATCAACTTCAAAGTCATTATCATCACTATCCCCATGTTTTACCTCATCTACTTTAACATTAACTCCACCATGCTCTACCTCATATACTTGAACATTAGAAACACCATCATCCTTATCATTTACAACACCTACATCATCAAAATTTACAACACTATAATCATCATTAACACCACCTTTATCCTCAACATTAGCACCATCATCATCATTAACACCACCTTCATCCTCAACAACAACTTTATCCTTAACATATATGTTCACTGCACATTTCATTTCAATAATATATTTATATACCTTATTAGCATCAATATCACTAACATTCTATTGTACTTGTTTAAATAATAACCATAACTAATATTCTAAATGCTTAAACTGACTAAGATGTTTCACGATACAAGTATCTTAAACAAAACACTCCACTTATCACGATCAGTGTTTGCCACATAATTTTTTAAAACAAAAATTAAAAATTTGACGTGAATGACTAAAAAAAGAAAAAACACGTCCACAAAAGACTATTTAATTCTCTTTTAAAAAAAGAAATGCAGCTTCTGTGGGGATACTCATCCCCAAATTCTATTGCTACTCTTGTTTTCTTTTTTCTTCTGAAACTGCCAGCCACAGAAAGTCTTAACAAGTTTCCAAAAACTAAATAACCAAATTCTTCAAAAACAAATCCCCAAAACCAAAAACAATGTCAGAACCTCCTCAATCCAGAACCATATGCCTCATCGGCGACATCCACGGCTACATAACCAAGCTCCAAAATCTCTGGTCCAATCTCGAAAACTCAATCGATCCACCACACTTCAAAACCGCCACAATCATCTTCCTAGGCGATTACTGCGACCGAGGCCCTCAAACTCGCCAAGTAATCGACTTTCTCATCTCCTTACCTTCCCGTTACCCTAACCAGAAACACGTGTTCCTCGCCGGAAACCACGATTTCGCCTTCGCCGCCTTCCTCCGCCTCCTCCCGCCGCCGACTGACGGGTCTGAGTTTTCGGAAGGGTGGAAGGAGTTTGAGGATAATGAAGACAGAGAAGGGTGGTTTAATGGGGATGGATATGAGAAGATGCATTTGCAGGGGAGAAGATGGAGTGGGAATATAAAGGCTAAAGTTAATGTTGCTAAAGGTACTGAGTATCAGGGTTCTATTTATGATGCTAGACCCACTTTTGAGTCTTATGGTGTTCCCCACGGTTCAGCAGGTAATAAAGCTGATTCTATAAAATTCTATAAAATTGATTTTGCTTAAAAATGAACTTATTATGTTGGGTATTTTAGATCAAAATCACTTTTCATAAAAATAGGGTCAAATCACGCTTAATCTTCGTTACTTTTGCGACTCTACATTGTAGAGTGAGAATGACTATCATTTTGAAATAAATTTTATTTGGTAAAATGATAGTCTTTTTTCAAACGGAGGAATAATTGATTAATTTTCACATTTGTAGCACCTAATTTTTATCCTTTGTGTTTGGGATTTGTGAAGAATTATGTGAGATTCAAGTTCATGGTATAGTCCCTATGGTTATCTGTCATGAAATTTTACTATGTATGCATAATTTTATTCTTAAAATCATGTCTTGAATCATGAATATATGTTATCATAGTAATTTGGTAGAAATGGGTGTTTTATATATTGAGGGTTTTGAAGAGAAGTGAAGAAAACGTTGGCTGTGTTGATAATGGTACGTGTATGTAGCATTAAGTTATTTATGAATGGTGTAGTTGAAGTATAGATGCGGTTAGAAGTGATTATTTAAATTTATCTTAGGACATAAGTGTTTGAGAGACCTTAGAAAATATCTTAGGATATGTTTATAAATTGTTTTCAGCTTATTTCAATAAGCTTTCTATAACAACTTATAAAAACTGTTTACAACTTGTATGAAAGCAATTTAACTTTATTATTTCTTCTGATTATAGAAGCAGCTTAAATAAGTGCTGAACTGAGCTTTCACTCAAACACAATGTATAGGGGTTTTCTCTGCTACAAATAAACGGCTAAGTTTTGAACTGCAACGAAAATTTGTTTTTATTAAATCCTGTACTTAAGGAGAAATTCATTGCATGCAGATTTGGTTAAGGCAGTTCCTGAGGAGCATAAGAAATTTCTTGCGGATTTGGTTTGGGTCCACGAAGAGGTCGTGCTTACTTTCTATAGTCAAAAATCAATTCATGTTTCGTTTGCAAACCGAAGTTGATTTAATGAACTTATAAAAACTCTCTGGATCATGTTTTACGGTTTTACCAGGACGAAGTCTTTATGAACACTGATGATGGAGTTAAGTGCTGCAAGTTGATTGCTGTTCATGCTGGTTTGGAGAAAGGTGTAGATGTGAAAGAGCAGATGAAATATTTGAAAGCTCGAGATACTCGAATACCTAAGTTGCAACCTCTAAGTGGTAGGAAAAACGTATGGGATATTCCAGAGGTAATAGTTTGATGCTTATTTTCATTTCAGTTGCTTTTAAAGCTTCTTCAATCGTAATGAAATTACTTTTTTCTTATAGGAACTAAGCGCGACTTCAACCATCATTGTTAGTGGTCACCATGGAAAACTCCATATTGAAGGCTTAAGGTTGATAATCGACGAAGGCGGTGGATTCCACGATAAACCAGTAGCCGCGGTTATTCTTCCTTCCATGAAGACTATTCGTGATACTGATGTATTGACAAAGTAGATTCATATTTGTGATAGTTTTTCTCGGTGTACACCATCGATATAGTTTTTAAACTTTTTCTCTCTCTCCGATTTGGTCCTAGAACAATAGAAAGATTACGGTTAGTCCTAAAGTCCATCAAATTAGTGCCTCACTTGCTTTAAAACTAGGAGGATGAAAGTTCGGCGACTAACTTGATGGACTCAATTTTTAAGAAACTACTTATTATATTTTTCTATAGTTCAAGGATCAAATAAGAAAGAGAGTGATTTTTCAGGGGCCAAATTAAAAGTTTATTCATTTTCCTGGTATAGTGTTGTCGAGTTGTTAAGCTTTGGATCTTTAAGCCTACAGAGATAAGAAATTAAGGATGGATTGTCCCTCTTATTCTGAATGTAAGTAAAGGATTGCTTAATCCCTTAGTCAATATGATCATTGCCATGGTTCTGATTCTCTTACTTTGGCTGTAACATTGTGTCTATTTCTTCTCACGAGTGAGATTAGTCACCAGCGAAACATTGCAAGTAGGTTTCCAGACTTCCATCTGATTTTCAGTCTGGATATGGTGTAAAGTTCATGTTGAGTTGTGACCGGAACTTCATTTGGAATTGACATTGCTTGTAGTAGCCCTTTTTCTGTGGCATGCATCTGTTCTTCTGGAAAAGTGAGCATTTGTGAACAAAATACTTTGAATCCGTTTACAGGTCTGGAAAGTCTAACAAATGTATCGGCCTGGCCAATAAAATGAAGCGGCTATTTGCCACAAGAGAGCTTTGTTGCAATTCAGGAATATCAGGTACATATAAGTATAACCTTTCTCTGAAGTAGATTAAATTATGAGCAAATCTAAAAAGTTCCTGCACATGACCGAGAACTAGCTCTTATCACTCTGTTGTTTACTTGCATAATACTCTTTTAGTTTGTTAAGATGAAATGGTATCGGTGATTAGGGGTGTGCAAAATAACCAATAACCATAAACTAAATTTCTATCCAAATTAATTCAAATTTTAAAATCCAGTCCAAATTTATATTTTAAATTTGGTGGTCCATTTATCAAATTAAAAAAAAACCGGTAAGCATTTGTTTCAAACCGGATTGAGATTCGATAACCATTTTTCAATAAGCTTCAAAAACAAAAGTAGAATAGTTTGGGAAAATCAAGATCAACACCCCTAGTTTGCAATAAAATTGATTTGATTTAAAGTAGAATAAGTTTAAAGTAGATAGTTTGCAATAAGTTTAAAGTAGAATAAACTTCACGATTAATTGATTTATATCAATTCAACGTACTTCTCGATTAATTGATTTAATTCACGATGAAAAGGAATTATTCTAATTCAAGTTTTACATTGAGTAGTTTAAAGTTTAAGATATATGGGGTGTTGATTTAATTCAATGTAAAATTGAAATAAAATTGATTAATTGATTTATATCAATTATTTGATAGTTTGCAATAAGTTTAAACTATAATAAGTTTTAGGTGGTCTATCAATTATTTAATAGTTTGCAATAAAATTGATTTTTTTTTTTAAATTGATTTTAAAATTGATTTTTTTAAAGAAAATAAAAAATTGGTTTTGAGAGAAACTGATTTAAAATTGGTTTTTAAAAAAACTGTTTTTTTTTTCAAAAACCAATTTGAAACCGAATCAATCCACGTGTAAACTAGTTTTAAAAAAATAAACCGATTTTATATAAATAGTTTTAAGATCCAAACCAAACCATATATGTGGTTTGATTTGGTTTGATTTATAATCCATGCACACCTCTGTCGGTGATGATTTGTCTGAGGAGCAACATTATATACAACAATAACAACCAAGTCTTATTCAAATTATCAACATCCTAATTCTCAAAATCCTTAATTCCTACCACTACCGACAAACTTTGTATTTTTGCCACCATCAATCAACCCCAATATATATTTCATATCTCAAATAAGTACCCACGAGATATTAGAATATTAATAGTAATTCATATTTATTTAGTTATACTATTTTCTTAGCCCCTAAGTTTGTTAGAGGATATTTTAGTATTTTATCTTATTCTAGTAACCCTAGTTTTAGCTTATAAATAGGGTGACAATCATTGTAACTATAATTATGTTTTTGTAGCCGTCATTCTTATTAGAATATTTTCTTTGTTCATCATTTATTCACCTTTGCACCAATAATTGGTATCAGAGCTCCGGTTCAGATTCATTGGGAAACACGGGAAACACGAGTGAACGTGAGGTCTTGTGTGTTTGATTTTGATTCTTAGATTCATGTTGAATCTTGAACAAAATCTGATCAGAATTTTATTCTGTGGGTTGGGAAACACTGTGTGAGAAATCTGAGTGTATTGTGCAAGGTGAAGATGAACGGAAACGACAACATGAACACCAAGCTTCCAGTATTTGACGGTAAAAACTGGAATCGTTGGATGATCCAAATGCGTGTACTGTTTGGTGCTCAAGATGTTTTAGATCTTGTCACTGATGGTTATGTTCCGGTAGCAGCAGATGCAACAGATGAACAGAAAAACGCGCAGAAGGAAGTAAGGAAGAAGGATCAGAAAGCATTATTCTTTATTCATCAATGTGTTGATGTAAATGTGTTTGAGAAGATTGCAGATTCAACGACAGCAAAGGCTGCGTGAGACACACTAGTTAGATGTTATGGTGGTGACGCATCAGTGAAGAAGGTGAAGCTTCAGTCCTTGAGAAAGCAATATGAGAATCTCAACATGAAGAATAATGAGAAAGTTTCTGAATACATCTCCAGAGTGATTCTGATCACTAATGAGATGAAGGCGTGTGGAGAAACTCTTTCTGAAGAAACAATCATGGAGAAGGTATTGAGATCCCTTACCTCTCAATTTGATTACATTGTGGTAGCAATAGAACATTCCAAAGATCTGAGTACCATGAGAATTGAAGAGCTGCAGAGCAGTTTAGAAGCGCAAGAGTTGCGTTTGACTGAGAGAACTTCTGAAAGGGAAGTAGAGCAGCAGGCTCTGAAAGCAACTTCTGATAGGAGGTATCAAAAGCAGTCAGAAGCCAGGAGAAGATCTGATGGTGGTCAGAAGTCAGAAAGCTCAACCTCTGATAGACAAAAGAATGCTCAGAAGGGAAAAGAGAAGTATGACAAGAAGAAGATCCAATGTTACTGTTGTAAGAAGTTTGGTCACTTTGCTAGAGATTGTTGGTCAAACAAGGAGAGAAAATCAGAAGAAGCAAATATAGCCAGAAGTTCTGATGACGAATCTGTGCTATTGATGGCTTCTGAATCTGATAATATGGATCTGATAGACTGGTGGTATATGGACACTGGCTGTTCAAATCATCTTACTGGAAACAAAAAATGGCTGGTTGACTTTGACTCTGAAAAGAGAACAAAGATCAGATGTGCTGATGACAAATATCTTAATGCAGAAGGTATGGGAAATGTCAGAGTGATTCTGAACAATGGGAAAACAACATTGATTCAGAACGTGTGGTATGTACCTGGCATCAGAAGCAATCTGATGAGTGTGGGACAATTAATTGAGAAAGGTTTTTCAGTTACCATGAAGGACAATCTTCTGAAGTTGTATGACTGCAATCAGAAGCTGATTATGGAGTCAGAACAGGGAAGGAATAGAACATTCAAGGTGAATGTCAGAACTGCAGACTCAGAATGTCTTAGTGCAACATGTGCTGAGAAGGAGAGTGAGCTGTGGCACAGAAGATTTGGTCATTTGAATTTCAGAAGCTTAAAACATCTGAATTCAAAGAAGTTGGTACATGGAATTCCTGCAATTAAGAAGCCTGAGAAGTCATGCAAAGTTTGCATGGAAGGAAAACAACCACGTTTGCCATTTGCGTCCGAAGTTGCTCCAAAAGCAAAACATGCCTTGGGAGTTGTACATTCTGATGTGTGTGGTCCATTTCCAGTAGCATCAATTGGAGGAAATAAATACTTTGTGTTATTTGTTGATGAATTCACAAGAATGACATGGGTATCCCCTATTAAGTTCAAACACGAGGTGTTTGATGAATTCAAGAAATTCAGAATGAAGGCTGAGAATCAGAGTGGTCAGAAGTTGAAGATTCTTAGAACTGATGGTGGAGGTGAGTATAACTCCAAAGAGTTCCAGAAGTTCTGTGAGGAGAATGGAATTGAGCATGAGGTTACTGCTCCTTATACCCCTCAACATAATGGTCTTGCTGAAAGAAGAAACCGTACTTTGCTTGATATGGTGAGAAGCATGCTAAAGGAGAAGAAGCTTCCTCAGAAGCTCTGGGGAGAAGCTGTTGCCACTGCAACGTATGTACTCAACAGATGTCCTACGAAGAAGTTGAAGGAAATAGTTCCTATGCAGAAGTGGACTGGAGACAAGCAAAGTGTTAGTCATCTGAAGGTGTTTGGTTCTGTTTGCTATAAACATGTTCCAGAAGACAGAAGCTGGATGATAGAAGCAAAGTGATGATTCTGATAGGGTACCACAGTACAGGTGCATACAAGCTCTATTGTCCAGAAACCAATAAAATTGAATTCAGCAGAGATGTGATTGTGAAGGAATCAGAAGTTTGGAATTGGGATAAGTCTCAATCTGATTCTGATGTTAGAACTTCTGAAGAAAGGTCAGAGTTAAGAATTTCTGAAGTTGGAGTAAACTCTGACGTTGACTCTGACTCTGATAGTAAGTCAGACTCTGGAGAAGACTCAGAAGATGAAGGTGACTCTGATGATCCAGACTCTGATGGTAATCCAGATTCTGGTGAAAATTCAGACTCTGAAGATGGCCAAGACTCTGAAAATATGCCAGATCCTGAAGTTGGTCAAAGCTCTAGAGGAAGTCAACCATCTGAAGCTGGAAACTCTGAAGCTCAAGACTCTGAACAAGTTCAGAGACCACAAAGAATCAGAAGCGTTCCCAGAAGATTTGTAGAATTTGACATGCTGCAAGACACTGAAGTAGACTCTGAAGGAGAAGTTATTCAGTGTGCCATGATGGTAGACTCTGAACCCATAAGTACAGAAGAGGCTCTTAAGCA